TTATACACAGGATGTGAGTCTATAAACTACGCGAAATCTCGTTCGAATGGGTAGTTTTAGTTCTGGTGTTTTATAAAATGGTGACAACTAAAATCTTCCACTATGAGAACATGAGTAAACTTTATTGAGAAAGCGTATCTCGTGGTCTGTAACAGTACCTCAGTTGCTGAATCTGAGGATGCAAGAGAACGATAGACTATAGTGATCAAAGAATTGCTATCTTTAGACAGCCTCATTCTGCACCAAAGCGTGTCAGGGGCTGAGTCTAAGCAATCAAATGGTTCTTATTAAAGATTGCCGAGAAAATATAGCAGTATACCGCCGCCGCATGTAAAACGATCACGTCTCGGCAGCCACATTCCGGGTAGGTGCAATTCAGAGCCGAGAATATCGGATGTCAACGAAGTTTCAATCATGGCAACTAGATCCCACTGACCAGTTTGCACGCGAAGCTGCACCTCGGTAAATTGTCTAAGGAAGCCGTGTGCGTTTTCGTAAAACCAGGTTAGGGTGTATCGGTTCAGGAATACACAGGGGTTCGAATCGTTATTTATGTCGACCAATCTGCGGTCGACTGGAAGTGTTTTGTTTTTACAAATCGGTTCTCTCGCTGTGGGCTCGAGAGGTTAGGGAGCAAAGTCGAGTTGTGAGATAGAGATAGCATGTCAGTATCGTTTTCTAACTGCGGACATCGTTTCATCTCACTATTCCACAGTGATTCGATGCACAATTCTGGTGGTCTTCTTTTATTTTTATACCATGCTTCCAAGACCGATGCGATCATTTCCAGGGTATTGAGGATGACTTTCATAATCCGTTGGCCTTTCGCCTAACAATCTGCTGAGCACGGCAGTCGGCTGATTGAGGTGATGAAAACATTGTGGCATCCGACCCGCTCTTGAATGAGCCCCCATTCTTTACAGTCGTTTTGTTGGCATTTCGACTCCTCTGGATCACCTAATATAGGAGCTCCGTGAATCAAAATAACTCATTTATTCTCCATCTCGCGTGTATCTACTGGGTTCGTACGATATTGCATACGTTCGGTCCACGGTCGATCAGGAAATATTCATATTAGACTGGAAACTTTTTCAAGAAGGTAACTAGAAAGAAGAACGCTCTTGACGTCTTCCTCATGCTTCTGATAATCGCGAAATAATCTGTGTCCCCGGGCGTGAGGTGAGAACGGTTGGCGAAAGAGGTGTATGATGCTAATTAGGTGAACTTCTGTGTTCATTTGTGTACATAATGCGGTCCAGTGACCAAGCTTTTCAACTCGTCTCTCCCTCAGTGAAGTTGCTGTCGCTTCTGATACATCAGTGCAGATAACTATCAGAGCAGTGTGATTCATTTTCCCCTTTTCTTTTGTGGGCCTACATTATACCTGCGGGCTCAACGTGGCTCCCGGAGCCTAAAAATGAGGCCGCATTGTTTGTTGCTGTCGTAATATGGTCAAATTCTGCCTGCATTGAAGGCCTCTCCAGCCGTGAGACAATGCTTGCGTTCCTGGTTGCTTTTGGCACCTTGCTAAGTTCGTCGGAGCGTATCAAGGGTGCTGAATCAGTCTAACTGT